AAACAGAATCTCTATTTGGGGTGATAAAAAAGTTTTGGAAATAGATGTTGGTAATATACAACATTGTGAATATAAGTAATGCCACTGAATTATGCACTTAAAAGTGGTTAGAATGGCAAATTTTATGTTATATATATTTTACAATAAAAAAATGGAGAAAAGTTAAACATAGAATTACCACATGATCCAGCAATTCCACTCCTACGTATGTACTCAAAAGACTTGAACAGAGGTACTCAAACAAAATCTTGTACATTATGAGTTTTATTCTGCTATTAAAGAGGTTTTTTAAAATAATGCCATTCTTTTTATTTCCTTATAAATTTATTTTATTTATTTATTTATTTTTGGCTGCATTGGGTCTTCGTTGCTCCATGCAGGCTTCCTCTAGTTGCGGTGAGCGGGGGCTGCTCTTCGTTGAGGTGCGCAGACTTCTCATTGTGGTGGCTTCTCTTGTTGCGGAGCACAGACTCTAGGCGTGTGGGCTTCAGTAGTTGTGGCTCACAGGCTGTAGAGCGCAGGCTCAGTAGTTGTGGCGCATGGGCTTAGTTGCTCCACAGCATGTGGGATCTTCCCGGGCCAGGGCTCAATCCCGTGTCCCCTGCATTAGCAGGCGGATTCTTAACCACTGCACCACCAGGGAAGTCCCAAAGAGTTTTTATCATGATAGTTAAATAATTATTTCTTCATCTTTGATGTTATTACCATATATTATCAACATACCAGTATATTACCATGACTTTTGCTATTTTTATATTATATAGTTTGCTTTTGCTAACTCTAAAATTAAGTTTTATTTTATTATATTTAATTTTTTTAAAGAACATAACATGCAATTTATAAATTTATTTTATTTATTTTTGGCTGCTTTGGGTCTTTGCTGCTGCACGTGGGCTTTCTCTAGTTGCGGTGAGTGGGGGTTACTCTTCGTTGTGGTGCGTGGGCTTCTCATTGAAGTGGCTTCTCTTGTTGCAGAGCACAGGCTCCAGTAGTTGCGGCATGTGGGCTCAGTAGTTGTGGCACACAGGCTTAGCTGCTCCACAGCATGTGGGATCTTCCCAGACTAGGGCTCGAACCTGTGTCCCCTGCATTGGCAGGCGGATTCTTAACCACTGCACCACCAGGTAAGTCCTTTATTTAATTTTAATTTTAATATTTTGGCTGCGCCGCACAGCTTTCGGGATCTTAGTTCCCCAATCAGGGATTGAACCTGAGCCACAGCAGCAAAAGTGCCGAGTCCTAACCACTGGACTGCCAGGGAATTCCAAAGTTTTATTTTAAATTAAATCATAAAATTAAAAAACAGCAAGTGGAACTATTAGGCTTACAACAAAAACAGAAATCTTCTACTCCATCCCTTCCTACCCCTGAGTTAGTTCCTCACTTTTAATATGAATAAACAACTAAAGATCACTGGACATTCCAGGAAAGACTCCAACCCAAAAAGACACATAGAAAAAAGGAGCCTGAAGGAAACAGAGACGACACAGGGACACATGAAAACTTAAATATATATGTAAATCTTAGAAAGGTAGGAAAAGATACTCTATCCATAAAACAAGGACAAAATATTATGAAAAAAGGAACAGAGTAAGAAAGAGCTCTTATACGAATGGCTGCAGTAAACATCTGATGTACAGAGTTTAGAGATAAATTCAAGAAAACCTCTCAAACTCAACAGATTTCTCCAAAATGATACACAAATAGCACTTGCAAAGATGCTATACTTTATTAGCCACCATGGAAACTCAAATCAAAACCACAGTGAGGGGTTTCCCTGGTGGCGCAGTGGTTGAGAGACCGCCTGCCCATGCAGGGGAGGCGGGTTCGTGCCCCGGTCCGGGAGGATCCCACATGCCGCGCAGCGGCTGGGCCCGTGAGCCATGGCCGCTGAGCCTGCGCGTCCGGAGCCTGTGCTCCGCAATGGGGAGAGGCAACAACGGTGAGAGGCCCGCGTACCGCAAAAAAACCCACAAAAAAACAAAAACCACAGTGAGGTACTACTATACCCACCATGATGGCTATAATCAAAAAGAGCAATAATTACAAGTGTTGGTGAGGATGTGGAGAAATTAGAACCTTTGTGTTCTGCTGGTGGGAATGTTAAATGGTGCAGCCACTGTGGAAGAGTTTAGCAGGTTCCTCAAAAAGTTAAACACAGAATTATCATATGACCCAGCAATTCCACTCCTACTTGTATACCCAAAGGAAATGAACATAGATCCACACAAAACCCTGTACACAAATGTGCACAGCAGCATCATTCATACTAGCCCAAAAGTGGAAACAATTCAAATGTCCATCAACAGATAAATGTGTAAATAAAATGTAGTATTATCCATAAAAAAGAATATTACTCCACAATAAGGAATGAAGAACTGATACATGCTACAACATGGATGAACCTTAAAAACATGCAGCAAAAGAAGCCAGACACAAAAGGCCTGTCACACAATCATACTGTATGACTCCATTTACATAAATGTCCAGAATGGGCAAATCCACGAGACAGAATTAGTGGTTGCTGAGAGCTAGTGGGGAGGAGGGGATGAGGAGTGACTGCTGATGGTCACGGGGTTTCTTTTTGGAGTGATGGAAATGTTCAGAATTTAGATAACAGTGATGGTTGCACAACATTATGAGTGCACTAACTGCCACTGAACTGTATACTTTAAAAGGGTACATTTTATGGCATGTGAATTATATCTCAATAAAGTTGTTATAGCGTGGGAAAAAAAAGAAAAAAAAAAAAAGAAAGCCTTCCAGAAAGAGAGACAACAAAAAGATAAGAGAAAGAAAAGATCAGAGACAGGATCAACTCAGCAGATCCAACATGTGAGTGACAGGAACTTCAGAGAGAGAAAACAGAACAAGTGGAAGTGAGGAAATTATTTTAAAAAATTAATGCAAGACTATTTCTGCAAGAAACAAAAGACCTGAGTCTCCACATAAAAGTGGCCTATTAACTACTGGCACAAAGACCCATTCCAGGGCACATCACTGAGAAATTTCATAAGAGAGGTAAAGTGAAGATCCTAACAGATCCTAACAGCTTCCAGAGATAAAATAATACAAAGGACTGAGACCTGGAATGGCCTCAAACTTTTCATCGCAAGTAATGGAAGCTAAACATAATACAGCCTCTTTAAGATTCTGAGGGAAAGTTACTTTCAACTTTAATATTTATATCTAAATTATATCTATATTTATACACAAAAATAATTTGTATTTACTATTTTCAACTTTACACCCAGCCAAACTATATGAGGTCTGAATAAAGACATACAGTTTCCAAAAATTTATCTCCAACTGAAGGTGTGCTCCCGTAAAGTGAGGGGCTAAAACCAGGAAAGCGGAAGACCATGTTGTCCAAAAAAGCAGGGTGTCCATCTGTTAATCCATCCAATAACAGTAAAGTAGCCAAGGGCAGTCCCAGGTGACGAAAAGGGAAGTCTCTGGACAGCAGCCTGGCAGCAGGCCCAGAAAGCAAGCTGGCCAGATCAGGGCAGAGGACAGAGGGCACCAGGAAAAATAGGAGATCATGAGATTATCTGATACGTTTGCACACCTGGAAAATAATATTGATGAGGGGCTGGCCGATCTGGTGGAGCATGTGAAAAAATTACAAATAAGAGCTTAGAAAATAAAGTGTATAAAAAAAAATGAGGCAACTATTCATTCTAGGAAAAACAAAATGTATAAGAAAATGAAATCATTAATATACTACAAGGCTCTGTAGTGAACATCATTTACATGCTCACAGCAAACAGAAATATTGGTTGTTTTTTAACCCCAAACGGATGTAATATACGGAGGGTGGGGCACAGGAAGTGGAGGTGACAGAGCTAAATACTGAGCTGTTATAGTAGAGATCAATACATAATGATGATTAATTTGAGAGGAAATAAAAGGTAATCCCATTTAAAAATGAAAAAGAAATATGAAGGTAAATACCAGAATACACAGTTGACGAGAGCTGCAAGTGGGGAAGGCTGAGGAAGGGCAGAGGGCTGGATGGTTTCTGTTAGAAGCCATTTAGTGCTCTCTCTGATCCTTGCCTCTGTTCTGATTTTGTAAATACTAGTATTGTAAAAGGTTGTTAGGTATATACCTCACAACAGTTCCCTGCACACCAGCGGGTGTGACATCAAAGCTGGGGACTGGCCTGGAGAGAGTGAAAACAAGGCCTCTGAGTCTTCAAGGGGTGGTTTCCCCAGGCCCTGCCCCACCAGGGGTCAGCGGGATGCTGACTCCATCCCTTCTGGATACTCCGGAGACCTGTGCTTCCTGCACGGTCTGTGAAGGGGAGCCATCTAGGGGCCGGAGCTTCCCAGGGGCCTGCCTCCAAACCACCCCTCCCCTGTATCAAACACCTGTGAATCTAGGCTCCCTACACATTTCTAGCTCTTTCTAGAACTATTCTCTAATTTCTCGGTGGAATTTTTGGAAACAGGCATGGTATAGACAGAAGCCTAAGTGGGAAAGTAGATGACTTCTGTCTAACCCATTCATAGTTCTTCACACCCTGCTGAGGTTCAGTTAGATCCCTGGTGCTTGGTACACAGTAGGTGCTCAATAAGGAGCCGCCAAAGGCATAATTATGGTGCCAACTTTCTGTGTCCGGCACTTCATCGGGCCCTGAACATGCACCGCCGCATCAGAGGGTAGGATTATCTCCACGTTACAGGTAAGGAAACTGAGGCTCAAGGAACCTGCCCAAGGTCACTTCACTAGTAAGGGAAGAGCTAGGATTCAAACCAGGGGGCTGCTGACCCCACAGCCAGTGCAACTAGCAGCTGCTGCCGTAAATCCTTTCTGGAAAAAGGTTTGGTTAGGTCGGTGGATGCATGGAAGAAAGGAAAGAATGAGAGTAAGGGGTGGAATCACAACCGACCCAGGAAGAGAACCTAAGAACCCCCACCCCCACCTCGGAGGCTGGGGCTGGCACCCGCACCCCTCCCACCCCGCCCCGCCCCCGGGGCCGGCCTCACAGCGCCCACCTTCTTCAGAGAGGCTGTTCTCTTTGGTCTCCTTGTCCATCTGGCAGCACCAGCCTTCCAGCCGCTCCGTTTCTGCCTGAAGCAGCTTCAAGAACCAGTAGCCGTCCCGGCGGCAGGCACCTGGCTGTGCTGGCTCCGCGGGGGAGCTGGAGGACGTCTCCAGCCAGGGGTCGGGCGGGGGCAGCGAGGATGCCTCTAAGGCAGGGTCGCTGTCGTCTCCATAGGAGAGGTTGCGCTTGATCTGGGCAATCCTGGGGGTCTGCCGGGGGCCGGCATCGATGCTGATGGAGTCGGGGTGTGGGGTGCAGTCCGGGAGGCTCCTCTCAGATGACTTACAGCTCGAGTCGTTGGCATCCTGGGTATCCGAGTCGGTGTCCCGTCGGGAGGACATGCTGTGAGAGGGGGCGCTGCTTCTGTGGGTGCGGGGTGGAGTGTGGAGTGGGGTGGGGACAGTAAGGGGTGAGTCACCCAGAGGGCCAGAGACCAGAGGCCACCCCGACCCGGACACACGGGAGACAGAGAAACGGATGCATCGTCTGCTCACCATGCGCCTGAAGCGGGTCCCACAGCCCCCGTCTCATTCTCTGCTCAGCCCCCGCCCCGCCCACACGCACACGCACACACAGACAAGGTCATAAGGTTGCCTGTTTACTGCACTGGGGCCAGGACGCCCACCAACATCGGGGTGCCAGGCCATGTCTCCGCCCGGCCTCGGCCCCCGTGGCTGATTAATCTTACAGAGCAAGCGCTCGTTGAGCACGCCCGCCCGCCCAGCCTCCCACACCTGGGCCACCGCCCGCACCCCAAACCCAGCTCGGTTACTAGAAATCCAGCAAGGAGAAGTGGGTTAGGGAGAGCAGGAGGAGAAGGCGCAGGAGAGGGGAGAGCAGAGGGAGGGAGAGGAGAGGGGAGAGGCAGCCAACACCTCGGTGCCACTTACCGCCAGTCGTCCTCTACCTGAACCCCGATGGACTGGAATTTGGTAGCGGGACTGGGCTCCTCTTTTGGCACTGGCTGAACGCAGTCAACCTTATTGAAGGACAACGACAGCAACGGCACGGAGACAAAGACAAAAATAAAGAACAAACACCACACTTGCTGCTGAAATTCACGTTAGTGGGACGACGCAAACGGACGTGTGGACAGACAGACACGAGGCATGCGGACACTGCACGTGGGCCCGAGGCCGGACCAGGTTAAGCCGGGCACTGCTCATTCGCGCGGAGGCGGGCGGGCAGGTGGGTGGGAGGTGGGATGGGGTGGAGATGACTGGCTTTCCCTACTCTGAGGAGGGTGCCATCACATCGATCGCTTTGGGTCCGTTGTCCTCCGAGAGGTGGGAATCGTTCCTTCTAGTCCTCTCCTTCACACGCATCAGAGAGAAGAAAAGAAAAAAGGACAACGAAAGAGAAAGAAAACACACACACACAAAGCCACAGCCGTTATCTGGTGTAGTTGAAGCGGGGCTGTCTCGAGGCACAGATCGCTCCCCCAACCCTGCAGGTGAAGGGCAGGCTGGAGGCGCCGGCAACTAGGGGCGCACCTCGGACAGCAGTTCTGGATTTGAAAGCTGCAACGAAGGCAAGAGCCGGCCAAGTCCCTGGGCCCCGTGGGATGCCGGCCCTGGGCCTCGATCACACTTGGCTGAGGTCACCTTCAGCACTGGGTGGGCCAGGGGAGCCACGTGCAAAGCTGGCACTCTTTCTCTATACCAGTGATGCCCTGGGCCTACCTTTCTTTTCCGGGACAGAGGTACGTGGCCACGGAGCAGCCAGGTCAGCCCCTCCGCCACCGCTCATGAATGAGGGAGAACACACACTTGACCCAGGGCTCGAGGCACCAAGGGGTGGGACGAGAGTTGTAGGGGTGTCCTTGGAAATAGGAGACTCTCGTCTCTTGGCTTCACAGAGGCCAGGGAGGCTTTCCCGGGCAGGGACTGAGCACCAGGCTCCTCCTTGCCATGGGGGTGCAGCTGCATTTCTCCTTCAGCAAGAGCCAGCTCAGAGGATGCAATATCACCGGATCTCAAGAAGCTGCCTGGAGAGCATGGAGTGCGGGTGGGGTGAACCCGGGGGAGAAGCCTGGATGGGCCCAAGAGCCAGAGTACTCAGCCCCGTGTGAACTGCCGAGTGAAAGGATCAGGGTGAGTCTAACTCTCTCAGGTCTTCTGGAAAGATAAGAACATCCGGTTTGGCCAAGGAGAGGGTGGGGCTGCACAAACAAAGACCCTGGGACTAGACTATTTTCTGTATTCCTTAGTCTCTCCTGAGAGCTGTACAGGACAGGGGCCGGACCCCTTATGAAGGAGCCCAGAAAACTGAATAGTCTCCTGGCCGACTTTCTTCTTGTATATGTGCCCAAATTTTTCCTCTCCAAGAGGCAAGTGCAAGAAATCGGCCGGTGAGCCATCTCTGGTCCATTCTGCCCCCCTTTGAGTCCCATGTTCCTTCTGTAATTTTGGTGCTTTGTCATCTACTCGGCCATGCCCCACTGCGCAGGGGTGGCTGGGGAAACGGAGATCCTGTCCAATCTAAGCCACAATGCACACCACCTGGACCTCCTTGATCGCCCTCTGGGTTTGGAGGGGCTCTGCCTCCCCCAAGCTCTTAGCTCACTGTAGCTGCCCTCCCTCCCTGCCCTGAGTATGCTCCACTTTAGTCTGGATTTAGAGCAACTCTTGAAAGCTGCAAGGCAGGGCCCAAGTTTTCCCCACTCAGCTAACAGCAGGCAGATTACTGATGTTAAGTGCATGCAGGAGGTGCAATGAAGCAGTGGAGGGGAAGCTGGCGCACCTTGCCCTGCTGTGTGCCCTGGCCATGGGCGCACAGTGAGCCTGGCTTCCTGAAGGGTCTGCTGGCTTTGGCCACTTGGTCCCGGGGAATTATCTGCCTGGATCCTTTCTCACAGAGGGATGCACCGGGACCGACATCCCACTTCTCAATTTGACATGGGCCTGGCACCTCAAGCAACCTACCTGTCCCCAAGGCCCGAGAGGGCTCTGGGCAAAGTTCCCCTTGAGCAACCCCCAAGGCTCCAGGGCCCTGAGTCCTGGGCCCCTGGCCCTCGGCGTCTACGCTCCACGCTGCTCCCACCGCCAGGCGGGGCTGTGGCCTCCGCACCGGAGCTGACCTTGGATCAGAGAACTGTTAGGCCAGTCCCGCCTCCCACGCGTCAGCTGCCAGGGCAAAGGGTGGAGTGAACAGACAGACAGTGGACAGGCAAACAGTGGACAGGAGATGGCTGGCTGAGTGTAACTACATTCACTGGGACAACCCATCGTTGGAGCAGGGACACCTGCCCACAGCTGCAGAGCCCGCAGCATGTTCGGGCGAACGTGAGGAAGACGTGACTATGGGTGGAATTTGGTCTGGCCACTTGGGGCCGACCTCCCAAAATAGACAAACCACCTTTGCCCAAGAGACCTAGTGGGCCTCCACCAGATGTAATTACACGCAGGCAGGTGCACGGCGTGGGCCGAGGACAGAGTGCGAAAGGGGCCCCTACTTGTATTCCTATAGATGACAGTTTCCTTTTGGGAATGGCCTCAGGGTGGGATTCGGAGCTGGTCAGCGTCCCTTGTTCGCTCTTCAAAGCTGCATGTTTTGGGGGTGGCTCAGGGGCCTCGGGGGCTGGGGTGACTCCGCCCCGTGTCACACTGGGCGGTCGGGTACTGCTGTCCAGGCTGTCCGACGAGTTGCTCAGGCCGGACTGGCTCGTCACTTCGCTCTTGTGGTCCTGGCTGTCCAGGTAGGTGTCCTGGGCAGACTCGGTGCTGCTCTGGACCGTGACGGAGATGAACGGCTTCGATGTGGTGCGTGGAGGGACCGGTGGCGGGGTCTTCTTATACGCCACTAGGCATGATGAACCTGCAGATGGGTGAGAGGAGGGCAGGGGAGACGGTGAGGCCCCAGCCCTCTTGAGCCCCTTTCAGGGCTGAGGCCCTACCTGACCCAACCCTAGCTCTGGCCTCGGTGAGGATTTCTGAAGCAGGAGAATGGGGGTCAGACACAGCAATGACCAAGACAGACAGACACAGGCCCTGCCCACCTTCATGCTGAGCCAAGGCCAAGTCTAGTGGGGGATGCCTACATGGACCAAACACACCCTCCACCTGAGTCCCCCACAAAGGTCTTATCCATCCGGGGCATGGGCTGGATGGTGACAGCAGAGTGACGGTCAGGACAGCTAAGGAATGGTTAACCTCACTTGTCCTCAAGTTCACCGAGAGACCTACCACTCCCCTGCCCAGGTCTTTTCCTCCTACCCTACCTTCCCTCCACCCTTGTTTCCTCTGCCTGGATGCCCTCTCCCTGTCTGGTCAGAGACCAACACATCCTTCAGGGCTCAGCTACCCTTCCCCACATCTTGCCATTCCCACCCCACCCCTCACCTTGTTATGTGAAAACCCCACACACCAGTCTACCTCCCCCAAGACTCCATCACGCCCGGTCAGACTCTCTGTTCTCCACCAAGATTCAGGGAACCAGGACCCGCCATAGGTGGGAGTTGGTGTCTCAGAGTCCCATTCTGAATCTGGCCCAGGGCTGGCCCACAGCTGGCTTCGTAAACGCTGAACTTTTTGTTCTGAAACAGGAGGTGCTTTTCAAACAGCAGTAGCTACTTGCTGTGAGGGGCTGGGTCACATCCAGCGGCTTTTCTCAGCATCTTAACTCCAACTGCCCTTTCCCCAGTGAGGACTGAAATGAGCCTCTCCCCGGGTGAGGCCCGGGCCAGAAGAGGAGCCAGAGGAGTGGCTTTAAGCCTTGCCTTCAAGGGACTGCCAATCACGGTGATGGTGATGGCTCAATGGAAACCCTCAAAATGAGGCCCAGTGCCACAGGGGCAGTGACAAGGCACAGCAGAATCCATTCATCTGCTCCTGTGAGATATCACTACTCAAACATCAGAATGACCAAAACAAAAACGGGTGACAACACCAAATGTTGGCGAGGATGTGGAAAACGAATCACTCATTCACGGCTGGTGGGAGTATACAATGATAAAACCATGGAAAAGTAAACATGCAATTACCATACAACCCAACAAGTGCACCTTGGGCATTTATCCCATAGAAATGATAACACATTCACAAAAAACTTATACAGGACTGTTCATGGCAGCTTTATTTGATATAGGCCAAAGTGGAAACAAGCTCACTGAGAGACCTACCACTCAATGGCTGAATGGCTGTGGTGCGCCCAGACCACCACTCAGAAACAAAAAGAAATGAACCACTGATACAAGCAACTACTTGGATGAAACTCAAGTGAATTACGCCGAGGGAAAAAGCAATCTCAAAAAGTTGCAAACCACATGATTCTATTTATAAAGCATTCTTGAAATGACCTAATTATAGAGATGGGAACAGATTAGTGGTTGGTGGGGAGACAAGGGGGAGAGAGTGATGGGGAGGCTGGAGGGACTTGGTTATACAGGGGCGACAGGGAGGACCCCAGTGTGTACAAAGTGATGGGAGTTCTATACCTTGACTGTGGTGGTGGATTCATGAACCTACACATGCAGTGAAACTGCATCAAACTAAAAAACCACAAGGTGATACAAGTGAAAATGGTGAAATCTGAGTAAGATTGGTGGGTTGTACCTATGTCAATATTCGGGTTATGATAATTATACTACAGTTTTGCAAGATTTTTCCATTGAGGGAAACTGGGTAAAGGGTACACAGGATCCCTCTGTATTATTTCCTACAACTGTATGTAAATCATATACAATTACCTAACAATAGAAAATGTAATATAAAAAGCCCATCCATCTGTCTGTTCACCTGATAGACGTGTATTAAGCCAGGCCCTGTACTGGGGTCCAGGAAAGCTAGGAGCCCCCATTAGCAGAGAAACAGCCGTGACACAACTACTTCAACAGCAATAGAGGCCACAGTAGAAAAGCCCAGGAGCTGGGAGCCGTGTCTTGTGCTTGACCTAGTCTAGGTGACTAAGTGCTCTGGGAGCTCAGAGCCAAGAGCACTGTTCCTCCTCTGTTCAAAATTTCCCAGTTCTGCTCAGGGATCCCCCCAGACAGACATACCCACAGTCTCTGACTCCCCAACCCAAGAAGGGTGGTGCAGGGGCAGGAGGCGGGGCTTCGGTCTGCGGGAGAAGGACCCTCCAGGGCCCTGCCCCGTGGAAAGGGACAGGCCTGCTCTGGAAGATGAGCTCCTGTGTTCAGCTGGTTGTAGGGCACAGGCTGACAGCTGAAAGCTGGGCCGCTTACTGAGCTGTGCTCAGCAGCTTTATGGCTTTGTAATTTACACCTCACGGTGACTCTGTGAGGTGGGGATATGATTATGCCCATTTTAAAGATGTGGCACACGAGGCTCAGGAAGTTAGATAACTTGCCCAGAGTTGCCAACAGCAAGTGACAACCACATCTGTTCAGCTGCACAGCCCACCACACTCCACTCCCCGGGCCTCAGGCCGCCCCCCTTTGCTGGGCTGGGGCTGCAGGTGTCTGAGGCTTTCACTGACCACTTTGCCCCTCAGCATCCTGCTGGACTCTGGAGCCAGTGTGCAGGGGCACATCCAAGCTGAGGCCTGACAGCTGGAGGAGGAGGGGCCTAGACTAAAGGCAGAGGCCTGGCTTCCAGGCCCCGACAACGCCTCACCGAAGTCCCTGTCCCCCAGTGAACTTTTTAGTACCTTTATCTGTTCAGTGGGGGTGGAGGAGTTCTAACAGCACACCATATTCACATAGCTCTTGACTAACTCACAGCATTTTCCCATTTATGCTCTCATTTAAGGGTAAGTATGGAGGCTCCCCTCACTGTGACTGAAAGGGAGACTCCTGCTAGGAGTCCCTCCTCCCCATTGCCTGAAATTCTACCATTTGAGAGTCATTCCTTTGGTAGTGAGGATCCAAAAGCCAGAAAGCAGCAGAGAACCAGACAAGCCTGAGTTCAGACCCCAGCTCTGTCATATACCAATTGCGTGGCCACAGGGAGTGATTACATAGGCTACATCACAGAGGTCAAGGCTCAGACAGCACAGTGCTGGCATGGTTCTGACTAGTTTCTGGTACAGAGGGAGACAGGCCTGGAGGGCAGGGGGTGAGCCAAAATTTCACCACTCCCCAGACACTGGTGGGGAGGCTGGACTGGTTCCCTGACCAGCCAGGGGCAGTCTCCCCCAAGAGCTGGACACGTAGAGAAGCCCACTGAAGCCCATGACCACCAGAGCCCAGCAGAGACACGACTCATTGGGGATTTCAGGATTTGTTTGTTTGTTTGGCCTAAATATCCCAAGAAAGCTTCAGTGGAGTCTTCTGCCCCAGATTAGAAAAGCGAAGCCCTAATCTGCTCAAAATGTTTAAGGGGGGGAATATGCCCCTAAAGAGGGTGGCAGTGAGCATGAGGACCCAGAACTGGGCTCTAAGCCTGGCGGAGGCCGTGTGACCCCAGTCAGGGTCCTTGTCCCCACCTGTGGTGGGGCTAACACTGGCCTGGAGGAGTCAGTCTGTGCAGGGACCTGCCCCACCCAGGAGATAATGGGACTGTCCAAGGGTCTGGACAGAGGACTGACCCTCCAGCCTCTGTCTCAGGCCTCTGTGTAGGCCAGAGTCCTGCTGACGCAGCCACTCATTAGAGAGAAAGTGAACTAGAGGGAGGCCAGGCCAGATGGCCAGATGTGAAAGAAGAAAAAGTGAACTCATCTTGGATTCTCTATGTCTCCTGGGGCACAGGTGACAGCCAGACAAGTGGTGTGACTAATGGAGAGGATTTCGGGGCATCTCTCAGCTGTGAGCACTGTCCCCGCCCCCAGGGCAGGGGGATGGGGCCCGAATCTACAGGACAGCTCTCATTTCACAGGCGTGAAATGCCAAGAAACATAGGCCAACACCTCCCCCAGCCCCTTCCAACGTGGCGATCCAGGCAGTCTGTGTTCCTCACGCCCACCACACTTCCTCCCACCTCGGGGCCTTTACACAAGCTGTTCTTTCTGCCTGGAAGGCTTCTCTCAGCACCTCACATGTTTCAAGTGTCACTTCCTCTAGGAGGCCTCCCCTGACTGCTCCCTACTCTCCCATCACTCAGGATCTCCATCAGCGCGCCCATCACATTTGGCATCAGCTCAGCGAGGCATTTACTTGCTGATGGTTACAGGCCTGAGGCGGCTGGGGGCTCTGTCTGTCTTGGCACAGCAGGTCGTGTCCCGGGCCCAGGGTAATATCTCAAGCATAGAAAGCTCTCAATAAATATTTGTTGAATAAGAAGAAGAACCTCATCATCGCTACAAAAACCACTCGGTTGCAAAAAATCAAGATTTAGCCATAGTGAAGGCTCCCAACACTTTAGAACCCAAGGTTCTAGTCCCATCTCAAATTTGGAGCCCTTTCTGTTTGGTCCCACCCACCCATCCTACAGCCTCACCTCCTGCCCTCCCACCCGCTCAGCATGCCCCTTCCAGCTTCACAGAACCCACACACCCTTCACAAACACCACACTCTTCAGGCGCCAAAGCCTTTGCACGTGCACCGTTTCTGCCAGAACCCCTCCGCGCATCCTTCATGCTTCCCGTCCTCCGGCCAGTCCCTCCACTCTCAGCCCTTTCTGGCCCAGGCAGAGTCCGACCCTCTCCTCTGGAGCACTCAGGGCTGTGGCCAGGTCTCCGACTGAGCGTGTGTCCCATGCGGGTCAGCAGCCGGTCCCCAGTCCAGAGGGTGCACAACCATCATTTGCCAATTAAACCTTAGAGGGAAGCAAGTGCCCCCGAGACCCAAGATGTTGGCCCGGCCAGGATGTAACTGCGGTCCTCCCTGCCCTGGGGAGATATTCTATGTGCCACAATTTACACCAAAATGGCATATGGGTCCAACTCTGTGTCCACTCTTGGAAAACTTTCAGATTTGCCCAGGAAGCTTGGGGGTGAACATCACTCCAGGGTGACTGTCTCCTCCAGCTGGTCCTTGTGCATATTTTTAAAGATCCTGAGTGACACTTCACTGAGACACAGCATTGTCTGCACACTGCACAGCTGTGCCCGGGGGCCGCATGCTTCCCTGCCCTCACCTTGGCCATGCCGGTCCATCACGCCAAGGCTCAGACAGAAGCTGGTTGTGTGATGCCACCTGCCCCCGGCCCCAGACATCCAGCCCAGCCTCCCTGCCCCACTGTGCACAAGTCCTTGCTTCTTCTAAGTAGAAGCTCCCTTTGTCTCATTTCTGCCTTCTGCCCTAGATTTTATCCTGCAAACTCTATTTTTCAGGTCAGAATGAATTTGTTTCCACATCTTGTTTTTTTAATGTCAAGGTGTATAAGATGGCCAATCAGAGCTTCAGGTGCTCAGAGTACTGGCTGTGGCTCCATTTCCCCAGCAGCCCCAGCATGACAGCCTCCTGCAAGTGCCTTGGAGGCCCAGCCTAGTCCTCACGTCTGCTGGCTCCCAAGGGCCCGAGCTTGGCAGGGGTGCTGAAGGAGAAGCGGCCTAAACAGTGTAGGAGCCATGGCTGCAGGCTTTACATAAGAGGCAGCGGACCCATGCAAGACCCCACGTGAATGGAGCTGGCCTCAGAGCCAGAACCCCCTAAACTCCTTTGCCGACTCTGCCCGGCTTGTCGGAGGAAGGGCTGAGAGCCTGTAAGAGCCCTCCTTCTCTCACCCGACAAGTAACCTGTCAAACCACGCAGCTAAATCGGGGAGCTCACTTGTGTGCTACGGTTAAAGCAGAACTCACGGCTCCCGCCCACCTAGCATCAAATTCCTCCCTCCTTCCCTGTTTCTTCCCCCAGAGCAGGGGAAGCTGGGAGAGAATTCCAAGGAGCTAAGTCAGGATCGGGGACAGACTGACCTCTCAGAGCCACTTTCCTGCCGATGGCCCCTGTGCCCTCTACTTTCCCCCTCTGCCAGCCTGGAAACCACCTCCCTCACTGTATCTTAAGAGTAACAAGATCAAACTTCAATTTCAAACGCCAGCAAGAGAGACTGGCAGCACCTCTTACCCCAGCATCCTCCTGGGGCTCCTCCCCACTGCCCACAACCAGGGGCTCCCTACCTGCCTCCCCATCCTTCCCTTCTCCCCCCCCTCTAGAGCCAGCCTCCCCTAGACGCCCCACACCGCCGCTCCCTGGCCCCTCACCTTCCTATCTTACCTTTCCTGTCCCTCTTCCACCCTGGCCAATGGGCCACTTGAGGAATCCAATCACGCCACTGCTTTGAAACCTTCCGATGGTGCCACCGCCCACCCAGTGGAAGTGGAACAAGCCCTTCACTGGGGGCACTCAGGGCTTCCAGAATCTGTACCTGCCTCAGACCCCAAAGTCCATAGGAGCCAAGAGGTTACAAAGGTGTCTGGGAAAGACGAAGCCACAAAGCTTAGGGAGTCCGGCCACACCCTTGGAGCCCTGCCCAGAAGGGGTGCACTCAGGATGCCCTCCTGCTGGTATCAGTGCCAAAGTTAACAGTGCTACTGAGCAAGCACTCCATCTACACTCAGTCCTCATTCCTCATGCTTCTGTATCTGCGAATTTGCCTACTTGCTAAGACACATACTCGCGGGGCTTTTTTTGCAGCCACTTGCAGACTTGAGCAGAACCTGAAAATCTGAGTTTCCCAACACACAGGTTCCCAGCTGAGGCTGAACAAGGCAACACTGCCTTCTTGTTTCAGCTCATACTGTAAACAAGCACCCTTTTCCTGGTCTATTTAGTGCTGTGCTTTCACATTTTTAAGCGTTTTTTTGTTGGTGGTGATTTCTCTGCTTGAAATGGCCCCCAAGTACAGTGCTGAAGTGTTGCCCAATGTTCCTAAGTGCAAGAAGGTTGTGATGTGCCTTATGGAGAAAACACGTGTGTCAGATAAGCTTTGCTCGGGCTTGAGTTACAGTGCTTAGATCAGTGTTACTAAATCAACAATATATTAAATAAGGTGTCTTGGTGGCTTGTGCTGGTAGCGGGTGGGAACGCAGGGACTCTGCATTTCCCATAGGAGGAATGGTTCAGTATTCACTAATTCAGTGTTTGTGAGACACTGCGGATGCAAGCACCATGAATAGTGAGAATGGATTGTACTTTGGCCAAATGAACCCTCAGAACAGATATGTGAGGTAGGTTTCTCACTGCCCTGTTTTCCAGGTGAGGCTCAGAGAGGTGGGGAGACTCGCCCAAGCTCACCTTCTAGCCAGGCAGTGTTGGGGCCAGGGATTGAACCCAGGCTGCCTGAAGCCTGACCCCTACCCTATGCCCCGCCCACTGTGCCAACTCTGTAAGGGTCATGTAGAGGCAACAGCCTTGAACATGTTAACTGTTTCACCCAGAAAATGGGGTGTGACTCCCAATGTGCTCTGAGTAGAATTCAAAGAGATGGCAGACATGAAGATGTCTGTAATCCTGGGGTGGCCCCTATGATTCCACTTACCACAGTTTCTCGATGAAGGAGAGAGTGATCACCTTTTGGGGGACAGCTGAGGACCTTTCTGGAAGACATGAAGGTTGACTGGGTCCGGCAGGATGGACCAGAGTCACTGAGGGGCAAGGAGATGCAGGGCTTTCAGGTGGAGGGGTGCTCTGAGCAAAGGAGCGGGTCAGCACAGCCCAAGGTGTGGGAAGACAGATTTGAGCAGGGCATGGCTCGGCAAAGTGGCATTTAGGTAATTTAGCTGGTGAAGGGAAGCCAGGGAGGCCTGAGAGAGGGCTGCCTCTTCTCGGACAGGGTCCGTGGCTTCCTGGGGCTGCCTGGACACCGGGAACGGTGGTATCTTCTTCCTGCCCACAGCATCCCTCACAAAGTCCCTCCAAACTGGCCTGCAGTCAGAGGATTTACAGCACGTGGACCTGACTGCAGCTGGAAGGGCGCATTGCCTCCTTTCTCAATAGCCCGGCACACCAGGCAGCTCTGTGTGAGGTGCCAAGGCCATCTCAAGCTCAGTGTGTCCAGAATGAATCTGAGCCTCTCCTCCCCGCCGTCGGCCTTGCTCTTTTAAAGAGGGGACCCCCACGCACTCCATCACACACTCCAGAAGCCTGGGGAGTCCTGCCCCCTGCTTCCCAGGCCTCCCCCATCTGTAAGGCTTTGCCCCTCTCCCACAAAAGCGCATGTCACAGAGCCGGGCTTCTCTCTACCCCACCACCCTGGTCTAGGCTTCCACTTTCTACCCTCTGGCCTCCCTGCTTTGTCGGTGATCCAACTCACCCACAATCACTCTCCAGAAAGCAGCCTGAGGAGTTTTTTTAAAGTACAAATTGGATTAATGCTTCCCATTTCTAAAGCTTTTCAAAGGCTCCCCACTCCATGAAGTTGCCCACCTTGGCCTACTACAGGCACTGCCCCCTTCTCCAGCCTCAGTTCCTGCACTTTCCCCTTGTTGATTCCATTCCAGTCACACTGCTATTCCTCAAACACTCCAAGCATGCGCCGACCTCAGGGCCTTTGAACCTGCTGTTTCCCTGTCTGAGATGATCCCCACCCCAACCTCCGCACACCTACTCCTTCCCATCCTGCTCTCATCTCTGCTTCCCACTCAGGTCTCGGCTCAGGGTTCATGTCCTCAATGAGAGCCTCCCAGACCACCCTGTCTAAAGTTGCTGTTCTTCCTTTGAGGATCCTGTTTATTTCATCGAGCACTGATCAACTTACTGGTTCACTTGTCTTTTGTCTCTCTCCCCTACCAGACAGAGATCCTGAGTATCTAATATAGATTCCTGAGGGTGGGGACCCTGAATACCTTATAGAATTAAGATGCTTTCCCAGCACCAGGCCCGATACATGGCTGGGCTCAGTAAGTATTTACTGAATTAATGAACAACCCCTATTTGACAGTTGGGTAGACTGAAGCTCAGGGAAGAATGATTTACTCCTGACTCTGAGTCGGAATCTAATGGCCAGTGCTGTGGGAGGTAAAGCTTGGAGCAGCTCTGCTTGAAGTTCGGCAATGAAGCTGTGGGAACGAGAGCTCAATAAACCCTAAGCACTGGGCATCAGAAACAACTTGAAAAATAACCATTTCTGAAAGGCGGCAGAGAAAGAAAGTAAGCAGTGCTTCCGGCAACATCTTCCAGGCAAGGCATATCATATGTACAGATTTAAAAGAATCATGACTGAGTGAGTCCTGGGCCAGGTACTACTTTATTCCAGACACAGGTCTGGGAGGGGAGATAATCATCACTGATGTTTTATAGATGAGAGAACAGGCTTTTAGCTTTTAACAGTGGCCGTGCTCTGTGAGGCTGTGGTCGACTGTGTACCTTGCACAGGGTCTAATCCCTTCTGGGCCTTCGTTTCCCCAGCTAAGTGGGTTGGCCTTGAATGGGCGTCACAAGTTTAAACGTCTACAGGAGACCAAGCATGTAACCCCTCTGGCCCACAGCTGTCATGTGGAGACCTGGGTGAGGGAAGCCAGAAATCTGGCCTTAAAAATAAATAAATAAAACCTCTAAATTTAAAAGTGGAGTTAGTTAATTCTTTTTAAAATGGAGTTAGTCAATTCTAAGTTTTAAAAAACACTGGGCAGGTACGTGCCTGCCTGCTAACGTGGCCCATGGCACACAGGTTTGTGACTGCTGGAACAGCTGTCCTCAGGCCTCCTTGCTCCTTCTGGAGCTCCAGCCCCTCTCCCCCTGCTCCCCAGGAAGCCGGTCCACTAGAACCTCCCCCTTGGAAAGGCAGGAGACCCTTGGGAACCTTGAAATCGAGGCAGCAGGAGGCCCTTCTGGTGGTGTCTCAGGTCTGTTGGGCAAAAGCAGAGAAGCCCCTTCTGGTCGGCAGGCCAGTTCTGCTTGCAGGCTCTTGGCACCAGGGCACAGGTGGCGGGAGAGCCCCATCCAGAGCACAGATGGCCGCCCCCCTTCATGGGCCTGGAGCAGCTGCCTGAGAGGGACCAGCTTGGTTGCTGGGACAACACCCTTCGCCCCCTCCAGAGACAGCTGCTCCTTAGAAGCCCTGTTCACACACCAGTTGGGGTCCAAGGTATGAAGTGGCTCTGTCCTGACACGTTCAGGCCAGAGGTGCTGGAGGACAGGGTTAAGCAATGCCCTCCAGGTGGACCCACAGTTCAGGTCAGCTGATTCTCTGAGGACAGGAAGCTGCCGGTCAGGAGCCTTCACAAGCTCCCGGGCATCTCCCCTGCCTGAGGGCTGGCCGTGAACTGGCCTAGCATGAAAAGCTTTAATTGTATTGGCTCATCAACTCTTCACCAGGCCTATCACTCCCACTTCAAAGAGGAAAAAAGTGAGGCCCAGAGAGAAGTGAACAGCCCCAGGTCACACAGCCAGGATTTGAGCTCAGGCTTTCTGATTCCAGAGCCAGCACTTGTAGCTGCTGCTTCACCACACTGACCAGGGCTGGAGTTAGGTGCACTTAGCAGGGCCTGGCTGAGATTCTGGCCAGGCCAGTTCCCCAGTCAGGACCCTAATCTTGGGTCCTCACGCAGGGTTTGGCGATATCCTCTGAGTGGGTTAGATGGTGGCTGCCTCTGGCTCTGCTGGCCATGGGGTCAGAGGCCTGGTGCCCCTGGACCAGAACCCCAGCACGTGGAAGAAAAAGGCGGCCTGCTCTGCCTGTGATCACTGCCACCCACAGCCCTTCCTCAGGCCCTTCTCTTCTGGATGTGCAGTCCTGGACACTCTGACCCTCCACCAGAAACACCAGAACCCCTGACATGGTTTCCCAGTCACTCAGGACTTCCCCAGTTTGGCTAAATCTCACTACAGCCTCAAGGCAGAGCCCAAAGAGGTGAGGCCACTCATCCCAGGTCACACAGCTGGCTGATGGGGTACTGGGACTGGAACGAGGATGTGAAAACCTCCAAATTCTAGGGTCCAAGGACATAGTAATTCCAGTGACTTTCAAACCAGGTTCTGGGGGCCCTCAAGAGGGCCTGGGGAGGCTTTTTGACTCCCACCCCCCGCCAGGGCCCTCAGAGCACCTCCATTTTCTTTTTTTCCTCCATATGGTATTTTGGGATCCACCGGACTCATTCAACCTCCTCATAGTACAAATGAGGAAACTGAGGATCAGAAAGGCAAATGTACTCCCTGAGGATCAGGTGGCAGAGCAGGAACCTTGCCTGGGGCTCTGAGTGTGGGTGTGTTCCCTCTGCCCACCTGACTCCCAGCCTGGAGACCACCAGCTCTAGGCATTCAGGGAAGCACCCACGTGTGGCTGAGCCCCACCTCCTCCAGCCCCTGACCAGGGGACCCCAGACGGCATGCTGTTTCTCAAAAAACATTTCCACGAGGGCTTCCCTGGTGGCGCAGTGGTTGAGAGTCCACCTGCCGATGCAGGGGACACGGGTTCGTGCCCCGGTCCGGGAAGATCCCACATGCCGCGGAGCGGCTAGGCCCATAAGCCATGGCCGCTGAGCCAGCACGTCCGGAGCCTGTGCTCCGCAACGAGAGAGGCCACGACAGTGAGAGGCCCACATAACGCAAAAAAAAAAAAAAAAAAAAAAAAAAAAAAAACATTTCCACGAATACTGCGACCGTATCCAGTAAGCAACCTGTCAGGCAACATTCACCCCTCACCGCCCGTTCTGTGCTGGAATCTGCTGCAAATGTCCTTTTATTTATCCCCAGAGACCTGCCGGCAGAGTTGGCTCTGCTGGCAGCTCTGCTGAGGCCCCTATCCTACCCCTCGGGATACCTTACTACCACCACCCCTGGGAGTCCAAGCTTGAAAGAGACACCAGCTTCCAAGCAGCAGTTCCTGAATCATGATTTTCTCGTACATTAAAGCTATAAACACTAGTAGGGAGTGCTGATGAGGAGAAGATGGCCAGAGTTACAGGGCTGCTATGGTGGTTCCAGTCCAAGACAAAAACTTGAAGTGTACAGCCCCTGTCTGGCCTGGTGGAGGAGTCGGGGGTGGAGAATCCAAGATTTGGCTTTTCAAATACTGGTTCTAGCACGTGGACCTTGTTGTGGTCTTTCCAAAGCCCTAAGGTCCCAGGAGCCTAGCCTGGGAAGTACTACTTAGAAGAAAGAGCCTCAAAAACCACCCTCACTTCTGGAGGGCTGATGTCAAACCCTAGTAATGGGTCACAAAAGCCTGGCTTTTTACAAGTTGTCACAGGGGCCCACATCCAGTGTGCAAAGCCAGACACTGCCAGGCCCTGTGCACCTCGATTGCTGGCCTCTTTCATTGTTCTGAATGACCAAGCGGATCCCAGAATAGAAAGACGGTGTTAACAGGCTCATTCACTGTGCCTGCAGTGACAGGTGGCATATCGGGTGTCAGAACCCGGAGCCAAGAACCCTGGGCGGCCAAGAGATGGTTTGAAATGAACAGAGCAGAAGTGAATGGGGAAAACCGTGAGTTCAGCTCAGGTCAGCCCAGGCCAGGTCGCCTTCCCTGGTGCCAGGCCTGGGGACAGGGACAAGGGCCCAGTCCTCAGAGCTTATATTAAGATTTTGAGTTCAGGACCCCAACTTGGACAATTACGCAGAAAACAGACATGTGGGAAAATGTCGTAGCGACTCTAGTTGATCACAGACACGGTCTGAGGCTACACTGACAGAGAAGGTGCAGGACCAGGGAGGGGGCAGCCCCACTGAACTCTGGATAATGTTGTGGGTACTGTTGGCGATCCTGGACAAGGGACACTGACAAACTGGAGCCCGATGAGAAGGGGGCAATCGCACACGGAGAAGTCTCTAATCCATCCTCCCATTATGACAAGTAGGCCACGCACTGGGCTCTGGGTGGGCACTAGGGACCCACCCAGTGTTAGTAGTCCTCAGACCTCAAGAAACTCACAATAAAGTAAAACTCCACCGACTGGGCGTAGCCGCAGGGACTACTGCAGGAGAAAGCCTGGGACTGACTGAACAAGAGTGCTGCGACTGATTGGTGACGTCTGTCACAGATTTGCCACAGATGGGGTGTGACGCACATGCGCCATGAACCATGCCTAGTCTAACACAAGGGAGGAGGTGCTTAGAGAGACTGGAGTAGTAGCCTGGAAAAGAGGGGATTCAGAAGGGCATGGCTACTGTCTTCAAATACCTAGGAGACGGTCACATACATTGTCCATGTGGTCCAGGTCATTACAGCACAACCAGAGGGGGGACAGGAAGGTGGGGGTTAAGGGGGAGCAGGTTTTGCCTCATTATAAGGAGGCAGTTTCTAAGGGGCAGAGCTGCCTAGGAGGCGATCAGCTAGGCTAGACACAGGCACGACGGATGCAGGGAGCGACTCAAGCCCCCGCGGGTGACCTTTAAGATTCCTTCCAGGCCTGAGATGTTTCCTCTTTTCTCTGCCTTCCTACTTCACACTCAGTAATGGAGGTGACATCAGACATCATTTTTGTGTGTGCGACATTCACAGTTCAATTTCTTTTTTTTTCTGCCTCCATAGAATTGTTACCAACTAGCAGAGGAGAGGGAGGAGAAGGTTCAAATGGCCTAGCTACAGGGGAAATGATGGGAGGACTAACTCTAAGGTCTAAGGCAGCACGGTCAGGGCTTAACACACCTTCCTCTGGACAGTCGGGCAGCACAGAGCTCCTACCTGAGATGATAAACCCATCCTCAGAACAAGAGACCAGCCGACACTGGCTTCCCTTCCCCCGCCGCCCCCCGCCATACCTGCTGCTGAGTTACAGAAGTGGCCTATAGGTCAGGAGGCCCTGAGAGTGAGCACTGTTCCTGCACTCACTCACTGTATGACTAAGGCTCCCCGGGCCTCACTCTCACCCATCTGTAAGATGGGAACAATACTGACTCGCCCTGTTCACTGCCCTAGGGCTGCTGTGAGACTCTCTTGGGAAGACAGGCAGGAAAGGGCTTGGCAGGTGAGGAACTACCAGTACAATCACTTGAGGGGCCCAAATATCTGAGCAAGGGGCCCACAGAGCAGCTGCCTGATTCTAGGCCTCCCAAGGACTCCATGCGCCAGAAGCTGGGGGTTTCTGGCCTGAGGCAGGTCAGGAAAGTTCAGTGCCCTGAGGACCGCAGCCGACCCCCACCCCATGCCGCATCTGTATCACTATTCTAACATTTTAGGGTAGTGACCTCTGGTGTCCCTGCCTTGCCAAGCACCCCTCTAACTTTTCTCTGCCACCCTCTCCATGCCAACGCCCCATGTTCCCAGCGCCCGGGTCTTTGCAAGGCTGCTCCCTGCCTGCAATGCCCCTCCTCCTCCCTAATCCCACCGCCTCTTCCGGGTCTCCGTTCCAGCATCACTCCCTACAAGCCTTCCCTGACTGTCCTTCCGCACCCGCCAGGCACCCCTCACTGGGTCGCGCCCCAGGTTTAGAGGTGCCACAGGCCCCTGCCGTCACACTGTTTTACAGGCCTGTTTACTTTTCTCCTCCGTTTAGACCCTGAGTCCCCTGAAGGCAGGGACTGCAAGGTTCCCATGCCTGTGGCACCCAGAAGGGGTGCCAGGCAAATGCCTGCTGCCACTTACGACGTGGGACCCTGTCTCTGTCTTCACCCCAAAAGTGAGACAGGCCTGCAGGGCCTTCCCCTGGAAGACTTGAGAATGCAGCAGCAGGGAAGTCTGTGAGGGGCGACCTGGCAAGCAAAAGACAGAGGTGCTGGACAAGCAGGGACTATAGGCCTACCCTCCGCCTCCAAACCATCCATACCCTCCAAACTCTACTCGAGTTTTCTCCCAACCACCTCTAAAAGCACAACATGGTGACATTTGGGAAGATCTTTTTAAAAGAAGACCTCCCCAAGGGAAAGTCACCAGCACCCCGCAACTGTAAGGACTTGCTGAATATCAGCGACTAATCGTCATAGTTACCGGTGTTTATTGCCTGCTCGGGCATCGCTGGCTACTGCCCTGGCCCAGTCACTGTCTGAGGTCCTTATATTTGAGCCCCACAAAGAGATGTTTTCACCATCGCCCCTTGTGCTGCTGAGGAAATGGAGGCTCAGAGAGTTTGAGGGATTTGTTCAGCGTCACACAGCAAGTGTTCTATCTGCTAAGTGAGTGCAAACCTTCCAGGTTGCAGTCTCCAGAACCCAACCTTCACAGCATCCGGTCTCACAACAAAAATACAAGTTGGCTGACAAGGAGGCTGACACACACATTCCTACAAAGCTTAGAAATCACCGTAGAAAGACAAATTTGGTCTCTCCCTTCTGCTGGCAGACTCTGACTAGAATACACTTTTACAAAGACCTCAAGCCCAAGCCAGCATCCCAAAGAGCATCTGAAGAAAGCGGACTTTACCTTGACAACTTCTACCCCTCTGGGAGCTGCTCTGCCCTGATGTTTTTACAAGCATACTAATCACCTCCCCAGGCTTCGGGCTGTCCTACCAGGCCCTTTTCGTCTCTCACAAAGAGACCTGTGATATCACTTGCCCCTCAAATGGTCCCTTCCCCTCCTAGGACTGACACCCATCTGTAAAAGTTGGGCACTGCACTAGGTTGTGGACGGCACAGGTTCCAAAAGGTGTGCTACTTCTGGTTAATTGGTAGTACCTGCCTGTGTTAAGAAGGATCCTGAAGCTGCGTCCAGGCTCCACGCAGCCACCATGGGCGCTGGAACCAACACTGCCTCTGTGGGAAAAGCCCTCCTGGGAGAGGAGCAGCCTTTTAAAAACTCTGCTGGAACACATAAAGCTGAGAGCTGGGCTTCCCTGGTGGCGCAGTGGTTGAGCATCCTACTGCCGATGCAGGGGACACAGGTTCGTGCCCCGGTCTGGGAAGATCCCACATGCCGCGGAGCGGCTGGGCTCGTGAGCCATGGCCGCTGAGCCCGTGCGTCCGGAGCCTGTGCTCCACAACGGGAGAGGCCACAACAATGAGAGGCCCGCGTACCGCAAAAAACAAAAAAACAAAAAAAAAAAGCTGAGAGCTGCAGTGTGCATCAACTTGGAAAGTTAACCAAGAGTTCATTATTTCCAGATGAAACCTACTCTCCCTTTCAAATATACCTCCTTAAAATGGACTAATGAATAAGTTACCTGGAGTAGTTAAATTCATATAGTCGGAAAGTAGAAGGGTGGTTTCCAGGGGGTGGGGGAGGAGGGAATGGGAAGTTGTTTAATAGGTATAGAGTTTCAGTTTTGCAAGATGAAAAGAGTTCTGGAGATGGAGGGTGGTGATAGTTGTAAAACAATGTGAGTGTACTTAATATCACTGAACTGCACACTTAAAAATAGTATAAGCGGTAATTTATTTTTTGGCTGTGCCATGCAACATGTGGGATCTTACTTCCCCAACCAGGGATCGAACCCTGCGGTGGAAAGCGGATTCTTTACTACTGGACAAC